GTTTTTGGAAGTCGGTTAAAAACATGTCCTTTTTTATCTTCTCTATAAAATAAAAATTAAAAAAACAATCACTAGAAACCTGTACTCCCAATATTTACTATCATTGATCTCATTTATTTGTTTACCAACCAACAAAAATATATTTATTTGTTTTTTTTTTTCGTAGTTGATATACATACATACATATGTATTATTTGCAATGATTCCATTTTGTTCTTCAATTCTAATACTTACTAATAAATTTATTAGTAAGTTGCCATGTTCCACAAGCTAGTCAGAGATGTCTGCGACAGAGCACCATCGAGATGTTTTAACAACCGCTGGCCGGCAGCGAGACCGAGATGATTTGGTCGATTATTAGCGAATATGTTTCTTCAGCTAAGCACGACTATTTTCAAGTGGCAATTCGTCTACGAGAGAAAACATCAAGAACAATCGAGACAATCGAATAAAACATCTCAGACTCGTCCATCACTAAAAATAAACTTACCGACTGTGCACTCAAAAATTGAATCCGTTTTGCATTTGAAAACATAAATATGTATGTATGTATAATAAAATGGAACTTAATAGTAATTGGGAAGTAGATTATTTATTTACGGGAAATTTTAAATGCAGTGTAGATATGATTTGAAAAGACATTATATGGGCTATCATGGTGAGTTCTCCACAGGAAATTTTGTAGGAGAATCATGCAATGGATGGATTGCTAATTTATAAAAGCGTTTGCAGAAAATGGTGCCAAAGATATATTAGCGTGTATTGAAATGAGCGGGGAAGATGTAAATATACAGTTCCTTAATATCAAACCATATTTAGTAGACAACAGACAAGTTAGGACAGAGCACGTTGTGAACGAACGATGAAATGAAATTCAATGAGCTTTGTTTTTAATTAGACCGGCAGAGTGAAGCTGGATTTTTAACAAAGTTTGTGTTTATTGTCTAATTGGACTTAAAATCACATTTTAGTATAATTACATAATTACCTCATCTTAGCGGTAACCCTATTTCACAGCATCTTAGTTCAAAGCGTATACGCACACCTTTCGTGTGATATCCATATTGTGGTATCAAATAAGCTTAAACTTTTAATAATCACTGTTCTATTTTTTTAGAAAGATGGCAACCTCGTTTAAAAATATTTTTTTTATAAAAATATTGATCGATTTCAAAATAAAAAAATACGTTTCTCCTTATTTTTGGTATTTCTCAGATCTGGCGGTGGCGAAAGGAAAAAATTGTTGGGCCACCCTAATGTGCATATGTATGTATGCATTTAATACGCACAAATTTTTGTTTTTGCTCGTTGCGCGCCACCATCATCCGTTGTTTTTTCTGCCTGGATATTCACAGCTATTGCAATGCAGTCGTTTGCATATTGCCTGATGGAATGAGCCCCATTTGTTGTTGCAATTAAGTGGAGCTGCCAAGCTATGCGCTTCTATGATGATTAACAAATGGTATTTTGTTGTTGACAGTTTGCAATATTGCAATATTTGTAACTTTGCGCCTTACTAAACGTACTAAATAATAGCAATTTTTTGTGGCACAACATTTTCAATTAGAGTTGAAATTGTGCTGTTTTACTTTCCAAATGACGGTAGTTGAAGCAGTTAAGCAGTTGTTGTTATCCTTATTCGCAAATTGTTGTTTCTAATTTGTTTGTATTTATTACCAAAGTTACATATTTTTATCGAGCTTCTGTGTTGATATTTACATACATACATACCTACATACATGGTATATATGAATATGTGTCTGTGTATAAATGTTTGTTAAATTGAAAAATTTGTATGTATCTTTGTGCAAGCTTAGTCAGCGTGCTGTCAATAGCAGCCTTGATGGAATTAAATTGCCAATTACGCACTATGATCCCACCGTGACGGCAGCAGTTGGCTGTCAATTCGTTTAATGTTTGGAAAAGCAGAAAATTTCTCCGATAAATAGCTGCTATTGATAGCAATAATTTGATGGTAGTTGGCTTAAATAGTTACTCAAAGGTGTTAGGGTGTTAGAACTCATCAAACTTAATTCTAGTTGGCAACTGAGATGTGCGGAACAAAAATGGAAAAATGTAATTGCAATCCGCAAGTTGTTGCTTAATTAAGTAAACATAGAAAATTGTTCATAAAAAATATAGGATGCACACGTATACACAAAGTCATAAATTAAATGTTCTTTTCAATAACAATATGAAAGTATTTAAGCTTAAATTTTTAGGCTTAAAATTTTAGATCCCTTCATTTATGTAATTATGTACATCAATACGCAAACTTGTGTTAAAAGAAATATTTTTCAGTTATTATTTTTCACTTCGAAAATAAAAGTTATTTGTTTATTTACTTTTATTTTTTGCATGGAAAAAGAAACTTAAGATTTTTTTAGAAAACAAAAGTAGCTTCGTTTTCCTTCAGGAGCGGTAGTGAATGAAAAACGAGGACTGTCATTACAATTATTGTTATTATTATTGTTATGATTATTATTACCATTACCATTAGCATTACTTCGTCAATTACTATTATCATTAGCTTTACTATTAACATTGCCCTTACCATTGCCATAACTATTATCATTACCATTTCAATTACCATTTTGGTTAATATCTATTACCATTGACATTACCTCTTAAATTACGATTACCAATATCATTACCATTACGAATACCAATACCACTGCCATTACCAATTTCCTGAGCAAAAAATATAACTCAATAAGAAATATGGCTCAACTATTATTTTGCAAGCAATAAATAAAACACACAAAATAGTTATTAAATTTTATTTTATTGAACGGAAAATTTAATTAAGTAAAGAGTCTAAGTTCGGGCAGCCGAACATTAAATACCCGGTACGCGCATTAAATAAAATTTTTTTTCTCAATGTTATTGTGGCTTGTTAACATTTTTTATTTTTAATATTTTTTTTATTGAGCTTTGTACCACGATTGTTTATTAGGAAAAATTGAAAAAGCAACAAAGTTTAAGCGGTAGAAGTTATAGCACTATTTCGGAGATCACCACATCTCCTCATCAGACTTCTTTTTTCTAGACTTCAGCAGGGATCGAACCTGCGAATTCGATGTTCAAAGTCAGAAGCGTTAACCACTGAGCTATGTACATCCCGTAAACTCTTGTTGCTAATTCATTTTCCTTATTCAACCAACTACTATCAAGTGCAGCTGATTTGCCGCTATTTAAACTCGACAGCGTGGTTGTTGTTGTCAATTCTATACATCCATTTGCTTATTTGCTTTTTTGTATAGTTTCAGGCAGGCTCTTCCTAAACTATGTATTTGTCAATGTTATTGTGGCTTGTTAACATTTTATTTTTAATATTTTTATTGAGCTTTGTACCACGATTGTTTATTAGGAAAAATTGAAAAAGCAACAAAGTCTAAGCGGTAGAAGTTATAGCACTATTTCGGAGATCACCACATCTCCTCATCAGACTTCTTTTTTCTAGACTTCAGCAGGGATCGAACCTGCGAATTCGATGTTCAAAGTCAGAAGCGTTAACCACTGAGCTATGTACATCCCGTTTTCACCAGCAGTGGTGTTAGTGGTGTCAAACTATCGGTGGTACTATTTTTTTTTGCCACTATCGATGAGTAGTGATAGTTTTTCTCTAAAAGGCTTAAACCATCGACAGTACTTGTTGGCAGCGTTCTGCCATGGAACTCTCGTGGACGAAAATATCAATAGGGAGAACCGAACTGTTCCTTCCGATTACTAAATAGTCACGAAGTAAGAACATTTACAGGCTGTTTTACATGTTACTGCTGGTGTTGTTTACTGAGCGGACTCGAAAAAAATTGCACCGGGAACATCATAATTTGATAAATAATTTCGTTAAACATATTGATAGGTACCTATGAAAAATTGTATGACGATCGCTGAAGATTAACAACTCCACCTAAAAGTTTAATATTGTTTGAAATGTTGTTGCTAATGACATCTCATTTCCAACATAGCGGTGGGGGCGCTAATTTTCATCCATAATCATCAAATTTTTCGTGGGAGCTTTTTAATAACTTCATACCATTTCCGATCAGGTTACGATGTTCCCGATCTATTTTTTTTTTTTTTGGTTTCTTCGAGCTAGTTTAGTTCGATCAGTCCGGTTTTTGTTACGAGGAACAAGCAACAGCGGAAGCACTTACTAGGCACACATGTGAGCAAAATTTCAAAAGTTGTAATGTTATTACTAGCATATGAGCCGAATTTCAGAAAGATCAGTCCCAATTTTATGGCCTTGTTAAGGCATTTTTGATAAAGTTATTACAAACACATGGACAAAAGTTTGGAGTCATACATTCCATAGTGCACTTCTTATGGGATTTTCAAGACGTTTTTGAGGTTAGGTTTATATGAGGGATATGCTTTAAAATAAATCAATTACGCTTATATTTAATTTTTTTTTTGGATTTATGTTCATGAAAGTTGCAAAAGGAAAATTTAGGTTCTAGGTCGAAACCTTCTAATTTTTCCCAAAAAATATATGGGCTGTGCCACTGTGTGTCGCTTACGCAGCATCAACAGCCTCTACTGAATATTTAAAATCTATTGAGTTTTGACTGTTCTTGATTTTTGGTGATTTGTGCTACAACTCCTCTCAAACTTAGATAGTCGCATATCTCTTTTTAGTTAGTTTTTTTTCTAGAATAAAATATTTATTCTGAAAAATTCCCAAAGACTCTTATTCGTGTAAAATATTTCGTAGCCACCCTGTTTTGAGCGTAATAGCAGTATTTTCACCTTTTCTTTTCATCAAGCAATTCAGTTTTCCTTGGCGAATTTACGATCAGTTTAGCTCTGTTCGCTCAGCCGTCGCCATTGTGTCCGCTAATGAATAAATAAATATTATTCTTATTATATTTTCAAACCAAAAAAGTGTTTCAAAATAAAATAATAATAAGTAATTGCAAAATATTCGCGTGTGCAGTGTAAATGAATTCTCAGTTTCAATGAATGCGTATTCTTTTAAAAAGTTTAAAGCCACGCCAGTTTTGAATTCCCATCCGTGTTTTTGAAGTAGATAGGAATAGCAACATGATGTCCCAGCAGCATCAACGTGGTCTATCCCATTTTGTGACACCATTGAACTGTATTCGCATAGCATTTACACTCTTGATTGCATTGAATTGGTTGCAAATTGCGAATGCACAGAAGACAAATGTTGGTAAGTTTTTATTTTATTTTTTTATTTTAGAAAATTGCGTGCTATTTACCAAATTTATTTCGTATGCAAATTTGATTACGTAAACAGTGACGAAAATCGCTGCACCACGCAGCTTCAGTCCCTCTTGGGGGGATTAGTACTCGTAGCATTGCAGACGCTACACAAAATGTCCCACTTAGCAGGCGCATCTAAAAACATATTTATCTTCTAAATGCAGCGCACCTACGTCTCTTAGCTCCCGTTGCACCTGCTTATATCGTGCTGTTTGCAAATAAATATATATATATATCCGTGCATACATACATCATTTAATATAAACAAGTCTACGCATAGAAAGAAACTATTGAAGAGACAGCAATGCAAATTGCATTTCTTGCAATGAATTTGCTGGGATTTGTTGCTCTTTGATTTCGCCGACGATTGCTTTAAAACGAATGCAAAATAATGGATAGAAGGTGCGCAAGATACTCGGCGTATTTTTTTTGTTTTGTTTGGTATTTAAACAAATGTGTAAAAATGAACACTTTAACCGATAGCCGGCTTCTTACTTTCGAATTTGGAAAAGGTCATCAATTACAGTATATTTTGCTTTGCTGCCTCTATGCTTAAGTGCACATTTAAGATACCTACCCCAAAATGCGCATCAGAGGCATTATTTTTAAAATTTATAAGGAAACTGCTCCGATAGATGCATTCAACATACCTGCACATTGGCGATACCTGCCTTAAAAATTGTGCAACTAGTATCAATTATCAATGAAAGTATTACGTTTACCTGCACTGGCCCTACAATTACCTAATTTTACAACTTTTTATTTATTTTGCTCATCTCGCAGAACAACGAAAATGGCTATCAATTTATGTAGTTATATAGATAATTAGATAGCATTCGGTAAAAATTTCGCTTGCAGTAATTTCTACATGGTAAGTTTTTCGTGCAAAGAAGGATGTGCAGCCAAGCAATATATACTGTACATATATTCTAATATTGCGAGAGGGGTCAGGCTTCGAGGCGCTTAGCAAAGCTAAGATTTACTAAAACTATGCTGAGTACGGTTATATTATGAATATTCATGAACAAAATACGATTATTACGACTCTGGAGGCAGTGTTTCCGCATCAAAAATATTTTTTCTACCAAAATGTCCACACGAAATCTACGAAAAATTCAAAACTACTCTAACCGTTTCGAACAACGCCGCTGTTAATAGAAAAATCACCAAATTTGAAAATTCCACTTCAAGAAAGGCAAGGTTAAAAAATGCTTTGTTTTTTTTTTTGAAGCGAAACTTCATTAAACACCACATCGAAAAAGATTGAGATCAATAGGAAGATGAAGCTGAAGAGGAAGATAGCGATGAAGAGGAAGAAGAAAATGAATACGAATATCCAGTCTAACATTAAGCTTAAGATACAGAATGGGATTAGGATTAAAACTAAAACACAAAGACACCTCACCTCTCCATACCTCAACTAGTAGTTAATATTTTTTCTATTATTTATCTGTTGTCAACCTAACACTATAACCCGTGTAATTAATATTTTTTAATCGCTACTCTATTTGAACCATATCTTTAAAATCATTTCCTATTAGCCCGGTGAAGTTAGATTTTCAAGGTTGCAACAATTCGCATAAACCTGAAAATTGGTACGAATGTTAAAAACACCACTATAAATGAAATGTAAAAAAAATATTCAAGGTCAATTTTAACATAAATAGATCATGCAATTATTTTTAAAAGCCGTTATGACACTTTTGCTCTTAACAATTACCATTTCTGGGATACAACTACTCGATCGACATCCATATTGTAAAAATTCATTTACCTTATCAAATACTTAGAATTGAAGTTAATTTTTCAACAGGTGATAGTATAAAAAATTCAGTCTGTATGGGAGATGTCACGAGCCCTTTTCCAATAACCCACATGTTTTCCATGAGTATTGATTTCATCCATATATCTTCATACCAAATTAAAATACTCTACTTCAAATAGTTCGAGAGTTATGCAGTATAAAACTTTTTGTTTGTATGGGAGGTGCCACGCCCCTTTGTCTAATAAAAGCTACCCTACCTTTTAAGTTGTGCTAAATGACACCATTGTGCGCAATTTCATTATGATCAGTTGAGTAGTTAGGGCGTGAAAGCGTTACAAACAAAAAATTCGAATTTATATAAGTAAGGATTATTCAGTACTGACCATTAAACTAATTTTTAGAGGTGAGCATTTTTTCACAAACCCAAATATACAAACACAAAATATTAAAACAGAGCGTATACATTTTTCTGCCTTCGATTGGCCATACCAGTTTCATAAATGAAAAGCCATTATTAATTAAAAACTTTCGCACTGGTTAAGGCAGTGTCACACGAGTGGGCATTAGTCTAAAATTTGGTGTGAATCGTATCCCAATCGCGTGAATGCAAAAACATTTTTCTGTTTACCAATCACGAAAAACAAAACAAATTTTTCAATAGAAGTTCGCAGTATTGTACCAATCGTGTGACTATAAAAAAAAATTTCGTCCTAATTTTTTTATTTTGAACGATTGAAAACCCCGAACTTAAGGTCTGATCGTTCAAGAAGTTATCTCTTAGGAAATGTAGATTTTATGCGAGTTCCACTGGACATGTTCTGATTTTCTTGATAAAGTCAGGTAGGAATACGAAGGCAAACACCATTACCACGGCCATTAGTATCACCATTACCCCATTAGTATTACCATTTACTACCATTATCGACCATTACCTACCATTGTCATTACTAATACCATTACCATTATTTACTATGATCTACCCTTTCCATTACCATTATCATTACCATCAGCATTACTTATAATATATACCATTACCACTATCATTTGCACTGCCATTACCATACCCATTACCATTAACATTACGTTTTCTCATATTTACTTCTAAAGATCATTGACAGATTGGTACGCAGTCCCTTATTTTGGCCTACAATGAGGTCGATGAGTTTCTTAGTATTCACGCCTACGGCTTTTGGTAGGCACGTGGGTCCCATTGCAGGTTTATAATACCGCACTTTCCTAGCCTGGCATATATGTAATGCATCTCGCCAATCGACTGGCATAAGATTTGGGCCTCATGCATAAAAAGTGAGCTTAAGCTCCGACTCGTTTTTCAGTACAAATTCTTGAGCTTGAGCTCACCCTTTCAGTGCAAAAATTGAGTCTGAGCTTAAGCTCACTTTTTATGCATAAGGCCCAATGCCTCGAACTGGAGTTAGCGCTCTACTCTTTACCTGTTAACTAATTCCTTAGGTGACGAAGAAATCGAGTGTTTTACACCAGATCGAATTTCTTATACATATTGGCGAGAAATTGTTAAATTTAAATAAAAAAAACTTTCTGTAGTGTCTTGGGGCTGGATCAGATTTATAAATTCTAAACATATTAAATAGACGTTGCTGTCTTTCTAAATAACTTATTATTTTAAATTTAAAAGGTCTGATTTACGAAAGCACCAATCCGGATATGGAAAAACTCTTTCAACTGGCTATCGATAAAGCCAACGAAGATAGTGGCGGTGCACTGCAATTGCATGCAATTACAGCAGCCATCGAACCTGGTAACGCCTTTGAAACTTCAAAGAAGCTCTGCAAAATGTTGCGGGTAAGCTAAGCACTACTTTTTGCATTTGTGTGTACATCTCGTTCTGGTCTAACCACTTCCACCCGGTTGCACAGCAAAATTTGGTAGCTGTATTTGGACCCACTTCGGATATGGCAGCCAAACATGCGATGAGCATTTGTGATGCCAAGGAGCTGCCATTCATCGATACACGCTGGGATTTTGGTGTGCAAATGCCAACAGTTAATTTGTATCCACATGCCTCACAGTTGGCGTTGGCATTGAAGGATTTGGTTGTGGCCTTGGAGTGGGCCGATACATTTACAATCATCTATGAAACTGGTATGTATGTATGTAGGCGGGATGCGTGAATCGAGTGGGAGTTGACGCATGACAATTTTTGTTTTATTTTTAATTTGCTCGTTAATCAACAGGTGAATTCTTGCCTACGGTGAATCAGTTACTGCAAATGTATGGCACGAGTGGGCCCACAATCACCGTACGACGCTACGAGTTGGATTTGAATGGTGATTATCGAAATGTGTTGCGACGCATTAAGAAATCTGGGGACTACTCCTTTGTTGTTGTGGGTTCGATGGACACATTGCCTGAGTTTTTCAAACAGGTGAGTGGCTAGGTGCTTTTGAATTTATTGCAGGTCGAGGTTATAGCAATGCAATTACAGGCTCAACAAGTGGGACTCATGACTAGTGACTACCGTTACATTGTGGGCAATTTGGATTTTCAAACTATGGATTTGGAGCCTTTTCAACATGGCGACACCAACATCACGGCTCTACGCTTGGTTTCTCCGGAATCGGAGAGTGTGCAGCAATTGGCCAAAGCCTTGTACGAAACTGATGATCCTTTTCAAAATGGTAGGAATGTAATTTGTCAACGACCAAGATTGGCCCGAATTCGGAATTCCTTATATCAAATATGTCCTAAAGGGTCTTAGAGAGTGCGTTACTATGTCATAAATTGTATGCTACCGTTTGATTTATTACAAGCATAATCAGTGCCCTAACATTCCCTGATAATCTATGCTAATTATATAAAGTGAAGTCCCTATTTTAAACAGATAATTTCGCGAACGGCTGGTCCGATTTTCGTGAAATTTCGTACATAAATTGCTTTCACTAACCACCATGTTTTAGGTCAAAAAGAAACTACTTTTTTCCGGTAGGTGGACCAGGGACCGATCTATTCGAAAAAATGTTATTTATGATCCGATTTGCTTAGAATTTGGTACGTATGCAGTGGCGGATGGGGACGATCGATAACAAAATTCATAAATATCGATAACAAAATAGATAAAATATCGATAACAAAATCGATAAAAATATCGATAACAAAATCGATAAAAATATTCGCTAACAAAATAGTTAAAAATATCGATTACAAAATCGATAACAAATCGATAAAAATACCGATAACAAAATCGATAAAATTATGGATTATTACATTTACAAGTTCCGAAAATATCGATAGCAAGATTGATAACAATATCGATAAATAAAATGGATAAAAATATCGATAACAAAACCGATAAAAATATCGATTATTATATCGATAAGTCCCGAGAATCCCGAAAATCTCTAAAATCTCAAAATAGTTCCCAGATTGAGTCTCTGTGTATCTCTCTATATCCTTTCCTCTTCAATTACCTTTATTTTAATCTTTCTTCCCTGATCTTCATCTTTACTTTTATCGGGATCCTCATCCTCCTTTTTATCTTTACTTTTATGTCCGTCTGTCCGTCCGTCCGTGTACACGATAACTCGAGCAAATTTGGTATGTAGATATCTCAACGAAATTCGGTATGTAGGTTTCCATTTATCCAAAGTAAGTTGGTATTGAAAATGGGCGAAATCGGACTGTAACCACGCCCACTTCCCATATAACGGTAATTTTCAGAAATACGAAACCCGCGATATTTTAGTAACTACTGGAGATTATTCACTCAAAGTCGATATTTACAACAATTTTCAGACCAAAAATAAGAATATTATAAATTTTTTGAAAATGGGCGTAGCCACGCCCACCGCTGCACCGATTTTTTCCAAACTTGGCGCAGTTGATGGCTGTAGTAGATTCCAAAGATTTCTTTTTAATATTTTAATTAAAAGTTA